TCTTCCCGCGCGCATCCCCGCGGGCAAGGGAGCCTTGCTGCCAGGGCCAGCGTGGGCTTAGCACAGAGCCCTCCGGCTGGCCTGGGCACTCTCCCGCGCTGCCTCTCGCTGCTGCTGTTTGCGTCTCTGGATGTCCCTGTAGGCCTGGATGACCCGTGCTCTCTCCTCCTGCACGATGCGCTGGCGAGCAAGGGACACCGGTGCTGCCAGGGACGCTGGGGACACCCGGCTCTGACCCAGGCGAGACGTCAGCAGGAGCTGCTTCCGGCCGGCCTACAAGCAGAGATGGGAACGGGTCAGGAAGGCTGAGGAAAGAAGCCAGCGTGGGGCTGGGGACCAGGACAACCTGGAGAGCTACAAAAATCTGTCACCAGGAGCTTGAGCTCCCCATTGCCAGGTGCCCTTCCAGGCCCAATTTCCAGTCCAAGTCAGGTGAGAATAGCTGGGTCCAGCCAAGACGTGCAGGTCCTGCCCAAAGGGAGCCAATGGCACGGCTGAGGGGCAGGGGGCCGTGGCTGGACCATGTTGCCCTCAGCAGCTCACCTGCTCTGCAGGGCCCCCTCTCCTGGGCCTCGAGGTGATGGTGGGTGGCTGTGTAACAACATCACCGAACTCCACCGTGTCTAGGAGAGAAGCAGACACCGGCCTCAGGCAGGAGCTCTCCAGAGACGCACAGCTCCAGCTCTGCCCACCCTCAGCATCATCTCTCCACACGCCATCAGAGCCAAGGGCCGCTCCAGGCAGCCCTCCTGCAGACCCACCTTGGAGCAAGCTCTTCTCCAACAAGGCCGCCTTCTTCTCTTCTTTCTTCTTCCGTGCTTTATCCAGTTTCTTATTCTGAAACCTGAAGAGCTGCATTATGTCCAGGGCTCATGCCCAAACAATAAAGTGAGTTTCTACCCCACAGGGTCCCCTCGAGAGCTGCGACCCCAAAACTGTCCCCTCCTTGCTCTGGCATCAGCCTGCCTCCCTCCAGCCCTGCAGCAGTGGAAGGGTAATGGGAAGCTGTGTCTCTGGTTTCAGAGATCTGGTCCTCTGGAGATGAGCCCCACAGCCCTCCCACCTGCACTGCAAGCAGCTGCCAGAGACCAGCCAAGCGCCAAACCTGTGCTGCAGCACAGGCAAAGCACCCGTCACACACCCAGAACCTGCTGGGGCACAGCCCTGGGCTGACCCAGCCCAGCCCTGGCATCCTGCAGCCTCAGCAGCCTTGATCTTACTCTTTCTTTCTCTTGGATTTCTGCTGGGCCACCTCCTCCTCCTTCTCAGGCTCTCGCTGCAGCTGGTTCTTGGTGAGAAACAGGACGCGCTGCACCTCCTGCTCCATGCGGCAGATGTAGGAGCGCTCCGACTCCCCCTTCCCCCTCTTGAACTTCGGCACGGGGATGTCTCCCTGGGCCTCGGTACCTTTCAACTTGGGCGGCTGCTTCTTCTCTGGGAGAGGCAGGCAGTGAAATCATTGCAGTGACAATGATCTGGAGGTTCCTTCCTTCCCGCTGACAGCGACAGGACCGACCACCCCCCGCAACGCTTGCGGTTCCTAAGCGGCAAAGGCCCTTCTCAGCTGCCAGGCCCCAGTCACGCCTCCCTCCGGGCCAGCAGGACGTCACCACAGGAACACAGCCAAGCTCCCAGGCACCATCCCAGGGAAGCAGGACGCCCCGTGGCCAGGATCCCCCCGGCTCCAGCTGCATCGCAGCTCCGTGCAGCTGGCAGGTGCTCTGCAGCCCTGGACACGGCTGTCCGGGCAGCCCGGCGCCCCAC